CACAGGTCTACTGCTCTCAGATTTCACAGACCTATCTGGTCATTACTGCATCCCTGGGTTCTTTTTTTATTACCACCCAGATATCTGCACATTCCTCATTTCATCTCCAATACTTCTCTTCCCTACCACCCAGCCTGGATTATCATTTTCTAGTCTGGGAGACTTCTTACTCAAAACGTAATCTTCTAAATTGTTGTCTGTTCTTTTGTTCTCCAAAGGATACAGGCTTTTGAAAATCAAAAGCAGAAAACACCCGTTTTTTGGTATTTGTTCTTATAACCTTCCCTGGGATAACAGTTGCAGAAAGGCTTAGCTACTGATTTTTTTTGCTAGGCAATAGGGTTAGGAGGGGAATAAAAAGGAGAGCTAAGGGAAACAGATATATCTGAGAAAAAAAAAAGTTGGATATTATTCATGATTTTGACACACCTCATCAGATAGAGTATAAATGTCGTCTCATACTGGATAGTGCTAGGAGCAGCTTCCTGTGCCCACGGTGATCTAAACCAACATCTCTCGGGTGGTTCTGTATGTCCTGCAGCCCTCTCACAGTTTCAGGAATCCAGCTTCTGCACTACTGTGAGCAAATATCTACTAGTGCCTGAACCATGACAGTCACTCACTGGACTAAAGCCAACGTACATTCTCGGCTTTGTTTCTTTGGTGGATTCTGGATTGTGCTGGCACCTTCCATGGGGTAACAATGGAGCAGCCAAGGAAATAATCTGTCTATCCCCTAACCTGCTCTGTTACTAACAAACACCTCTGTCTGATTGAGTGAACCAGACATGATGGGAGAAGGCAGAATAAAGAGTATGGGCTTTGATGTTAGATCTGAGTGTGAATCTTAGTCCATCATTAGTAGCTGTGTGTGACCTTGGGCCAGTTACTTAATATCTAAGCTTTATCTTTTCTCATACCTGCCTCATGGAATTGTAACCAGAATTCAACAACCTACCTGTCTTAGTTTCTTAGTGCTGCTATAAAAGAAATACCACAATTGGGTGGCTTTAATGAACAGAAATTTATTTTCTCATAGTTTAGGAGGCTGGAAGTCAAAATTTAGGGCTGTGGCATGAAGCGAAGGTTTTCTGTCTGTGTTGGCTCTAGGGGAAAGTCCTTGTCTCTTTTCAGTTTCTGTTCTCGTTTCCTTGGAGATCTTCGTGTGACATGGCATTTATCTTCCCCCATCTGTGCTCCTTGCTTCTGTGCCTAATCTGATCTTTTTATATCTCAAAAGTGATTGGTTGAACGCTGTTGTTGTCGGGTGCCGTTGAGTCGATTCTGACTCAGAGCGACCCTGTGTACAACAGAATAGAACACTGCCCAGTCCTGCGCCATCCTCACAAGACACTGTTGTAGATTGAATTAAGTCCCCCCAAAATATGTGTTGTAAATCCTAACCGCTATGCCTGTGGTTAGGAGCCCTGGTGGCACAGCGGTTAAGAGCTCAGCTGCTAACAGAAATGTCGGCAGTTCTAATCCACCAGCCTTTCCTTGGAAACCTTATGGGGCAGTTCTACTCTGTCCTATAGGGTCGCTATGAGTCCGAATTGACTCAACGGCAATGATTTGGTTTTTTGGTTTATACTTGTGGTTATAATCCCATTAGGGAATGGGTTTTCTTTGTTATGTTAATGAGGCAGGATTAATGTAGGGTGTATTTTGAGTCAATCTCTTTTGAGATATAAAAAGAGATTAAACAAGCAAGCAGAGAGAGAGACGGGGTAAAATAGATGCCAAGACTCATGGAGATCTCCAAGGAACCAGGAAGCAGAAGCTGAAGAGACAAGGACCTTTCTCCAGAGTTGACAGAGAGAGAAAGCTTTCCCGTAGAGCCAGCGCTCTGGATTCAGACTTCTAGCCTCCTAAACTGTGAGAAAATAAATTTTGTTTTGTTAAAGCTATCCACTTGTGGTATTTCTCTTATAGCAGCACTAGATAACTAAGACAGACATACTCTAAACTGATATGACCTCGTAACATAACAAAGAAAACTCTACTTCTGGATAGGATTACATCTACAGGTATAGGAGTTAGGATTCCAACATATATTTTGGGGGAGACACAATTCAGTCTATAACACTACACTGGCATTGCAGGCACTCAGTGCTATTTTTAATAGCTGTTATTAATAATAGTAACAATAAAAGTGGTTACTAGCAGGCTACTGTTTGGTTCTCTTCATTTTCCAACATTCTTGATATGGGCTGTAGGATAATTGTTTTTCTTTAATTTATCAATATGATTCCAAACACTAGCACAGTTTTTCTTTTAACAGCTTTCTGGGTTCTCTTCCCACTCAACCACCTTTGTCACTCTTGTCTGCTTTTCTCTTTTTTCTTTATAAACAAACTACCCCTTTCTCAATCAGCATTTCTGCCCTGTCTCTCCTCTGTCACCGTTGTAAACAATGCAGAATAGTTGTTCAGAAATTCTGTTCATGCAAGTGAATGCAACTGCATAAGCTATCACAGGTGATTCTAGAAATGTATGGGCAAATTGAGTCAAGACTACATGAACTAAGACGGATGACTCCATAGAGGAATCCTGAAGTGGCTTCTCTTGTCAATTGAAGAAACTCATGTATAATTTGTCTTAAATATGTGCTAGTCTTCATTTGGCTAAGGAAAAAATTTACTCCAGAAAGTAACAGAGTCAAATTTGACATTTCTTTGTTGATATTTTATTATTTCTTTCCTATCAAGCTTCTTGTCCAGTGAGAAGTGGAACCAACACTGTGTGTTCTTTATTAAATGATGATGGCGTTGACAAGGGTTTATGCCATCTGCTCTAGAAATTTTGGTGAATACAGTAGTTCTCACCTATGCCCTGGTAGATCATGATATTCCCCAAATTAGACTGATGTTTTGCCACAAAACTCAAATGATGATTGCCTTTTCCCAATTTGCTGAAGAACTTAAATCAGCGGTTGGAATCTTCTCTCTTGTGTGTGTTTATTTTATATCAAGAACACTAAGTGTTGTTTTAACTTTCTTAGCAAATTGGGCAATTGATGTCAGGGCACATATAGAAGTTGAATTATTTTATTAATATTCATTTGCTCAGCAGAGAATAAGCCATTCATAAACATACCAACTAATTTACATATGAATAATCAGAGTACCATTTCTGCTTATCCTCCTTTGATTCTTGTTTGTCCTTTGGTCTTTAACCATGAGATCAGGGTAGGGAGCCAGTGGCCCACCAGATTCCACTGAGATGTATTTCCAATGAAATTATTTGGAAATTACATTCCAATGAAAGTATTTCCAATGAAATGCTTGCTAACACATGAATACTAATAAATAACTACAATAACTGTTCATGGTTAGATTAGTTGCCTCTTGTTCTTACTGTTGATTATGAATTGCTAATGGTTTTGTAATGCAGTGCTTGCTAACCCTTTTCATGGCAGGGTATATCTACACAATAGTAATATTCATGTAGCATACTGGGATAAATGGCTCAGCGGCTTGGCTGCCTAGGAGTTGAGGGGATCATCACTGCAGCCCACTTGTACCTTACTCAAGGCACACCTCTGTGTGCAGGCTGGGAATCTGTATTATGGTATATGGGAGACATTATGCAGTCCTGTGTTCTGCTAGTAACATTGATTCCTTTCTCTTATAATGCCATTGTGTACCTCACTAATCAGCAGTGTTCTTTGTTTTATAGCCTACAAAAGAGCACTGCTACCCCCCAGCTGTTCCCCTTCCTGAGGTTTGAGAGCCACTAGGAGATACAGTATCTAAGTTCATGCACTTGTGCTAAGAAAGTGTCCAATCACTCTGACACTTCTTGGCCTTTCTGGTTTGACTAATCTCTGGCTTGCAGACTGCTTCCAGGTCTCTGGTTTTGAAGCATGGTCATTAAGTCTTGCAGACTGGTCATTTTTATAAAGGTACTCAATAGGAAGAGCTTGTATAAGAAGCAAGGAGGGGAGAATAAACTCCACAGGGTCTTTGCTAAGTGGGCAACTGAAGTCTCCTATCTTTAAGTTCCTTTTTGGTTAGCAGCTGAGTGCTTAACCACTGCACCACCAGGGCTCCTTCCAGCCAGACAACTTCCTGTGAGCCTTTAATGTGAAGTTCAGTGTCCTCAGGTTCAGAGGAAGAAGAGACTTCAAGCTGTAAATTCTTTCCACATTTGTGGAAGCTCCTAGTTCTGTCTGAGCTGGTCGCTTCTGAATGCCAGGGCCTAAAGGTATCAGTTGATTCTGCTTCTTCCCTCTCACACACTCATTCCCTTCTTCTGCTGTCAGAACAACCAGACACACTTAAATATATACACTTAAAAGCACTTTTCAAATTAAGTAAATGTAACACTTTCCTATCCTTTATTTGCGTTTAAGTAAAGTACTCTTCCTCCACTCCTAGCACGTTATTAGAATATCAGATATATGATATGCTGATTTAAATTTTAAAAAAAGGACTGAATCTTGGAATTCACAAGACTTAGGTTTGAGTCCCAGCACTACCACTTATCCAGCTAAACAGGCAAGTTCAGTTAATCTAAATCTTCTCTATAAAGTGGGGTTAATGATACTTACCTTTTACCTGTTGCCACTGAGCCGATTCTGACTCTTGGCGACCCCATGTGTAGAGCAGAACTGCACTCCATAGGGTTTTCAATGGCTATGACCTTACAGAAGCAGATTACCAGGCCTTTCTTTTTCGGCCCTGCTGAGCTGATTTGAACCATCAACCTTTTTGTTAGTAGCTGAATGCAAACTGTTTGTGCCACCCAGGGGCCTTGTGGCTAATCATGTTGTTGTGATACCTGCCCCACTTCCCTCCAGAGCCGATCTGAAGTTCAAAGTAGATCTGTATGAAAATACTTTCTAAGCTCTCAGAGTGAAAGGTGAACGCAGTGTGTGATAGTGAAAGCTTTTAGTTAGTCCTCAAGTCCAGGGTCAGTTGCTTGTAAGAACTTCAATATCCAGAGCGTGACAAAACTGACATGTGCTCTCCCTGTTTATTTCCTCCCTCATCCTGCAGAGTAACCTGATACACTACGTGGGCCTGAGCCATCATCTGCTGGCCCTGAATTTTATCATCGTTTCTTTTGGCAAGAAAAGTGCATGGTCATCTGCTCAGGTGAAGGTGACTGACACTGACTTTGACGGGGTGGAAGTCAGAGTGTTTGAAGGCTCTCCAAAGCCAGAAGAGCCGCTGAGACGCAGCGTTCTTTACATACACGGAGGAGGCTGGGCCTTGGCAAGTGCAAGTATGTCCTGGTCACCTTTGGGTTGTTTGGGATTGTGATTGGCTGTGGGGGAGCTATGCAGTTGTGTTTGGCTTTCTTTTTGGGTGAGGAGAGGGGGACCATTTGTCTCAGTTTCCTGGGAAGTCCCAGTTACCCGTTGTCCTAGCAAAATTATTAGTAGTACCCCCTTTTCACTCTCAAATGGGTCCTGGTTTGGATGATAAGTTATATGGTTACCCTAGGAAAAGGGTTTTGTTGGTTTATTCAGGTAGACTGTTTTGAAAATATTTCCTGTAACCTAAGTCATGGCTAGTTTATTTCAAAGTGCTATTAATAGCTTTCTTCACCAAAACAAGGTGAAGTTTCATTGTACCAGAATATGAAGGAATTATCTGTAACTCTTTTGTCAGCTTGTATTTTGAAGACATCTTTCTGTGAGATAGAACAAGCCATTTCTGAATACATCAACATTTTATCTGCTTATAAAACTAAAGATTAACATATAAAAAGTATGCAACTTTAAAAGGAAATGGTCTTGCAAATTTCAGGAATGTTCTTTTTAGCACTGGATAACTTTCACAAGTAGAACACATTCAAAATGGCGGGCAGCCAAGTGGAGCAGCGCAGTAGAAAGCAGTTTCCAAAAAGAAAGTAAAGGTCTCATCTCTGCCTGTATCTATCATAAAGCTACTTTCTCATCTTCAACTCAGAGCTTTTGGCATCCCCTAAGTTTAAAAGGTTATTTTGTTTGTTTCTTTAATCATTCTCTGATTTTTTTTTTTTTTTTTTTTTTAGTGCAGCAAAGCTCAAAAAGTATAACCTTTTCTACTAATCCCATTTCATTTAGCTCCATATTCACCATGTACAAATATAATTTAGTCTTTCATTCACTGATTTGTTCATGCTGTCAACGGATGTTCACTGAGTAACATACGTTTGTCCAGGACTGAGGGGTTTCCTGGGACATAGTACTTTCAGTGCAAAAACTTAAAACAATCTTGGGCAAACCTGGACCATTGGTCACCTTAATGTGTTTTAGAGGGTAAGGATACAAAAGTGAATAAGACAGAGTTTCTGCTCTAGAAAAAACTAGGTCTGTAGCATTGGACACTTGTCAGGTAGGACCTTGCAATGGAGGACATGAAGAAGTGGCATACATTACAAGAGTCAGCCTGACCTTGCACACATTTTTGCTGATCCCTCCAGTCACAAGAAGAGCTGGGGCTGGTGTAGATATGCAGGTGGCTATGCAATTATTAAGCATCCAGTTCTAGGACTGTCTCAGAAAGCCTATAAATAAGGAAATATCTGGCTTTCTATTGGCCAAGTCTAGCTCTTAATTTATTGAAAGAGCAACCAAGAGGTTACATTTTTACATATTAAAATTGCTTCTGTCAATGCCGACCTTTGGGTCCTCTTTCTAAGAAATTCTGAGACTTCCTAAAATTCTGGTTTGCTATCTGTTGGTTTAAACACAATACCATATTCTTCAAATTGGTAACTCACCTAAATCACAGCAAATGAAGGATGTTACAAGAGTAAAATTTTATAGTTCCAAGGAGGAAACTGCCTATTTGCTGTGATTTTTTTTTTGAAAATCATACATTGGAAGAGCTACAACATCAGAATTAATGTTGTTCATTTCACATAATCCATCGTGAAATAAATGTTTAGTTAGTTAAGAACACATAATCTAATATGCGTTTCCTGTTATTTTTTAGTAATTGCATTTTATCAGAAACCAGATTTAATTTTTGCATTTGTACATGTAACTCTATCAGTAAGGTATTCATTCACATTTGATTTTTATTATTTATTTTATTATTAGTCACTTAAATCCAGGTCTAAAAGTAATGAATGATTAGCAGAATTTAAGAGTGGAGAATATTAAATGACCTATTTTATAGTGATCGTGCTTTTGTCTCTTTTAGAAATCAGCTATTATGATGAACTATGTACAGCAATGGCCAAGGAATTGAACGCTGTCATTGTCTCCATTGAGTAAGTGATTAACACTGAGTCATATATTTTTTTTTTATTATTATGAAGGGATCCTAGATAACAGTTGATATTTTACAAGTAATAAAGTATAAAATAAAGGCCCAGTGAAGTGAAGAGATTTGCCCAAGGTAAGACTCAGCATAACCAGAAAAATATAGTTCAGATATAACTTACAATTTTTAAAACTATTTTGATAACTTCTTTAATTACCTTTTCATATTAGTTTTGGAAACTTCTGGAAAAGGACTTAACTGAAAGTGAGTTACCTGCAATATGTAAGTTTGACTACTGCCTTTTTCATCTAAAAGGCAATCAGGGTTTTAAGAGAATCTCTTCTACAGCTAAGCGATGAAAAAGTTATTCTCCTGAAGTCAGGTTCTATGACTTGGACCTATGGACAGTAATAAATATTCAATAAGTTTGAGTTGATGTAGTTAATATTATTATCATTAGTAGTAGTACTAGTATTAATGTATGATTAGTCTCTACCAGTTCTATATTAGCCACTTTTCTGGGCAACTAAGAAGAATGAGAATAATAATTGAAACAATTGTGGTGATAGTAATAATGCAAAAGTCACGGTTCCTTTCTATGCCAGGCTGCTTTTGCATACATTGTCTCACCTCCTTCAGCTCTTAGCTCCAGTATTTAAAATTGGACCCATGCTCCCTCTACTTGTATTCTTCCAAAGTCCTCATTAATATCTGACAGCCTGCGTACTTAACTTATTTAAGTGTTTGTTGTCATGGGTGGAGATAGACAATGTAGCTCCATAAAGATAAAGAGTTTAGGAATTTTTGTCTGTTTTGTTCTTTGCTGAACCATTGGTGCCTGGGTACATTCCTGGCATATAGTGAGCCTTCAATGAGTATATGTAGAATGAGTGAATGATGAGTGAATGAATGAAGAATCTCACTGAATTTTCATAGTATAAAGCATCCAACCAGGGGCAGATCACCCGGTAAGCAAGGTAAAAACCCGTGTGAAATTGTTCACTACAGATTAGGAAGTAAGCACTAGTAAGCCCGTGTTTACCTTGCTTACTGGGTAATCCGTCCCTGTCAGGAATTGTAAATTTGAAAAGAAGTTTTGATTCTGTAGGAAGGTGCTGTGGTTAGGAGAGAGACAGATGCCAGCTATACCTAGAAGCAGAATCTTTGATGAGGTGGAAAGTGTGAAATTGTTCACTACAGACAATCTGGTAAGCACCATGCTTACCTTACCTGTTGGATAATCTGCCCCTGCATCCAAGATATATATTTTGATATATTCCTCATAAATGAGGAAATTGAGGCTTCAAGAAGTTAAGTAACTTGCATTGTGGTCACATAGCTAGTAAGTGATGGAGTAGGGAATTGGGGCCCAAGTGATTTTTGACTGAGTATCAAGTCAGTACTGAAGAAAGCTAATGGTGCTGAGTGACCAGGCTGTGGCCACCACAACACTCTCCATGCCCTGAGCTCATCCAGTTCTTTCCTTCTCTCTGCCTCTCTGCCAGCTGCTCCTCACCACCGCCACCACCCACCCCCCCATTCATGGCTTAGCTCCTCTTTGCCCCTACTCCAGATCTAGGACCTAAGAGAATTATTTCTTCTGCGATCTTTTGCAAAGGCTGCTCTCCTGAGTTGTTTAGGCAGCTCTGACCCTATAAACAGAGCCCTGGTAGTGCAGTGGTTAAAATGCTCACCAAAAAAAGGTCAGCAGTTCGAATCCACCAGCCACTCCTTGGAAACTCTATGGGGCAGTTCTACTCTGTCCTATAGGGTAGCTATGAGTCAGGATGGACTCAATGGCGACAGGTTTGGGTTTTTTTTGACCCTGTGAACAGGTCACATGAGTGGCACTGGGGCTGCCTCCTCAGTGTGGATTCAGCGCCAGACAGCCCTGGACAGCTCCTCAGGTTTCCCTGGACCCGCAGCCAGCCCTCCAAGATCAAGCAAGTGTTCTCAGTGCAGTTTTGTAATGCAAGAACCTTCAAGTAAAAGATTGCATCATCTAGCCTGGGTGGCTGGCCAGAAGAATTCAAAGCTGTTTAAGTAGCTGCTGCCCCATTATAGAACAAGTCCCTATGGCTCTGTGCTGGGGAACAAGCTTCAGGGCCCCTGTAGTGGTTTCCTGTGTAGCCTCAGCTTTTTACAGGCCTGAGAAAAGGAGGAAAGTTTGGCTTCCTTTACTTAGTACCACTACGATTCACCACTCATACATGCAGGCCTCACCCTCCAGGGCTTCAATACCAGCCACTGGCCTTAGCTCTTCCTATATCTGCTCTTCTCTACCTGTTAGCATCTGCCTCAAGGAAAAAACTAGGTTTATCATAAAACATAGAGGAATGGAGTCTTAATTTCCTAGTGCTGCTGTAACAGAAATACCAAAGTGGGTGGCTTTAAAGAACAGAAATTTATTCGCACAGTTCTGGAGGCTAAGAGTCCAATAAGGTCTTGCCTGTGATGATTCCTGCCTTATAAGTAATCACTGGATTCCTTGAATCCTGGGCTTGTAGAGACAATCCTTACATGGCATCTGCCCTGGCCTGCCCCACCCCCACCCCCACCCCCATATGTACGTATCTCTGTGTTTAATTTTCTCTTTTTATAACTCAGAAGTGATTAGATTTAGAACCAACCTCACTTGGATATGCTGTAATTAATTTAACAAGAAAACCCTCTTTTCAAACAGGATTACATCCACAGGTATAGGGATTAGGATTCCAACACTATATATTTTGGGCAATTTAATCTATAACAGTCCACCCTTTGGCCTCCCAAAATTTATGTCTTTTCCACATGCAAAACTTTCACCCTATCAGAGATGGATAAGATAGTTTTAAGAATTTTTTTTTTTTTTTAATTAAGAACTGAAACGTAGAAGAGACGGCTTTATTCTTAATCTTCCATTGTGCCTAATCTGTACAATGTAACAACCGGAAGTTTATCAACTGGGAGGCATCACAATGCAGTAGTTAAGTACCATCACTCATGGGCTGTGTGACTTTAGGCATGCCACTTAATCTCACGTGCAAAATGGGGTTAGCAGTCCTCTGGAATGGTAGCTACTGGGGACAGAAGTCATGTCTTACTTTGGCTTCCAAGCACCAAGGATAAGGCTGAGAACACACATGCTGAGTAAATATACTTTGAGTTGGATTGATGAACTCAGAGAGTCTGATTAGATAATTGAGATAAAAGGGCTTCAGATACTCTAAAAAGCTAGACAGGCTGGAGGATTAGTGCTCTATCCCATAGAACAGGAAGGTTCAACCTGTGAATATATTTATCAATGTGGGTTTGGAAATGACAACACATTTCTTTGCAGAATTAATGCAATAAGGCCATTAGGATTCCAGGCCAGCCTACAAAAAGCCATATAACCTATGCTCTAGTTGAGACATAGTCTACCTCATACGATTGTGATATGTCTCTTGGGAAGTGTGTTCAGAAGTCTAGCTTGGAAATGTATTTGTTCTCACTGGCTTACCTCTCTCCTCTTTCTTTTATTCCATAAATATTTATAGAATTCTGTTACGTGCCAGCTACTGTTAAATTCTGGTGACATAACAGTGTAATATGGACATAGTTCCTGCCCTCATGGAGTTTACAATCTAAATTTTTAGAAAAAACTACCCTTGAATGAGTGAATATAAGTGTGGTACATGATAGGAAGTAGAAGAGTACGTAGTAAGACAGGCATTTAATAGGAAGACCTACCTAGTTTGGAGGATCAGAAAAGGCATCTTAAAGAAAGTGATGTTTGAATTGAGCCTTTAAGGATGTGCATAACCTGGTTAGACAAAGTGAGTTGATCATGGAAGTCCAAAACAAAGTAATAAAAGGGTTTGGGAGGGAGGGGAGGAGGCATTAAGAGAGTGAAGTATGAGAGAAGACAAATGTAAGGTCTTATGCTTCAGCGATGACTGAGGAAAAACAAAATAAGGGTGGGTGATCCTGAGAGCCTTCAGGAGGATAGAGGACCCTTTGGTCTCCTGGGATTCTACCCTCTCCTGACAGGGAGGCTGTCTGGAGCCAGCTGTTCCTTGTCCTCAAGGCCCATAGGAGTAGGTAGTGGTGCCATGGCTTTACTTCATGTAGGATGTGGCCCTTGGGGATGATTATGGTTTGAGAAGGTGGGTAGGCAAGGGTTGGGGGCAGCCCCAGTATTGGCACTACCTCACATAAGTGGGTGCCAGGAATTAGAACTCCTCAGTTCATGTCACTGGTGCCTCAGGTTATAAAAATAGTTAAGGGCCATGCCTGCTATTCAGTAGCTTCTATAATACTATGCTACTTTTACATATTAGTTGCATAATAAGTATTTGTTAAATAAATGAAAATGTTTATACCTTATACCTAGGATACGTAGATGTATCCTTATTTATATAGTCTAGGAAGGTCTTATTCTATATTCGTAAGCTTATTTTATATTCATAAATATATTGTCAGTGTAGTGACAGTGTGGTACCTTTTAACCTCTAGTTTCTATAATAAAACACATTACTAGAACCTCAAGATGTAAGGGAATAAGAAGACTTAATTTCTTTCTTTAAGGCAAAATGCAGGTTAATAACAAAGTAGGTATGGTGAATATCTAAACCCTACAGTGTATTTACCTTGCTTTTTTGTGTGGGGAAAACTATTTCAAGTTGTGTTTTCCTTTTAATTAAATCTTTACTCCCCTCATAAACTCTCAATTCCATGTAGATGCCGTAGAAGTACTCCCATTCCACCTTGCATAGAGATCTTAAAACTTTACAGAGCTGCAAAGAAGACTATTGCTAACGTGGACAGCAAAGAAGCTGGAGTGCTGATCTTAGTTTGCTGCTAACAGAGTTATAAGCAAAGGAACTTTTATGCCTCCATTTTTTTCATCCGTAAAATTAGATGAGTACAAGCTGACAAAACCACAGTGGTTTTATTGGACTCAATACAACACCATCTTTATTGTAAATATAAGACACTCTGAACTACGCTTAGTGGCGGTGATCTGCCTAAGACTCTCTGCGCCTT